TCCCGCCGGGGGCGGGAAGGGAGACGCCGCCCGGGGCTGCGGGTCCGCGGTCCCGGGCCCGTCCCGGCCCGACGGCAGGTTCCCAACTTTTCACGGCGTGGCGAGAAACGTGCCCCGGGGCGCCGCCGAGCTGCTTTGACGTCTTGATCCTCTCCGAGAACTTAACGGGATCGCAAAGCCCTTCGAGCGGCTTTTCCCGGCCGGGCGGGTTTAGGCGGGCGTGCGGGATTGGGCTGTAATCCGCCCGTGCGGAGCGGAGGGGAGCGCAGCGGAGGGGCGGCCGCGGGGGGCCCTGCCCCGCCGCCCCCGCCGGGCCGGGCCGGGCCGGGCCGCCCCACCGGAGAGAGGGCTACTGCTGGGCGGAGAGGGCTACCGCTGCCCCGGCTGCCCGGCATCGGGGGGCCGGACCGACGCCGCCTCGGAGAAGGGCACTGCTGGCTGTCAGCCTTCCCTAAGGATAACGGCCCCGAGGCGCCTGCGTTCAGGCAGGCAGACGGACAGACAGACAGAGTTTCCGAGTTGGGAGACAGCGGGGGAAAGCGTGGAAAGGTGAGTCTGGGGGAGGAGGCAGCAAGCCTCCGTTTTTTGTGTTGCGCTTGGGAGAGTGGGGTCATGTCCTTCACCTGCAGTTCCAAGCCTTAACTCAAAAGCTGGAAATAGAAATGTAATTTACATCCTATTTTTATTTTTAAGAAAACTATAAATTTGATTAATTGACACAAAGATCTGTGTATCCACAGCGAAATAGGATTCAGGACACAAATCCGTACGGAAGCGGGGCTGGGGGCAATTACCTGTTGACTCCCGTTGACTGAGGCTTCTCTTCACCAGTTTGATCCGTGCGTCTCTACCTTTTCTGCTACCCGGTGCCTGTGCTACAGGCATGAGGTTGTCAAACCCTATAGGAAAGAAAATGCTAGCAAATACTACAAGCGTAGTGAAAGGAAATTGCTTTCCTGAGATTCGTGGCTAAATTGCCTCGTTTTTAGCAATATGACATCTTTTGCAAAACTCATGTGGTGTCAACCAGGCCATAGCGTGCCTAAGAATGTGCAAGATACAATAATGACTATAATCAGTGTCTTTCTCTAATGCATGGTCCATTTTCTTGCTGAGAGAAAAAAGCCAAACGAGGGCAAGGAAAATGACATGAATGTTACTTTAAATGTCTGAAGAAATAATGTAAATGTAAATGTTGGTACGGGTTACTAGTGGACACTTTTTACTGTATTTTGTTCTCCAGGTTCGGAGTTGCTACGTTCAAAGCAAATAGTAAGAGGATTGTTGTATTTAAAATCTGTAATTTTCGTTGGTACAACTGAGTAAATTGTAATGTCAGATGCTACAGTTTGTGAAATGGCATAACTTTGTCTCTAGTCGGCACAGCTGGGTTTTTTCCTGGTATTTTTAATGTTGTTTTCTTTGAGCATGCATGCTAAACCAGCATCTGATTAGAAAAATAGAGGGTGCAGATGATAATGGGACTGTCAGGATGTCTAATCAGGAAGGGTAATCACGGTAAACAAGCGGTGAACGACTTGAGGAAAGAGCACATCAGCTTTAAAAAATTATACCCCGTCCTTCCATGTCAGCATCTCTCCAGCTCAGCCTTCTGTCTACCTCTGCCCATCCCAGCTTTTGTCAGCCAATTTGCACCCGAGCTCTGTCATTTCGGTCCAGCACGTTATCCTGCAGCCTTCTCCGGTGCTGCCATCTCTTTTCATTAGCATCTCTTAAATCCTCTTCTGTAGAACGCCTCCTGAAACGTGACACAAATTGCCTCTCCTGTTCCTTCCCGAAGCCAAATGGGATGGGTTGGGATAGTTTGCATAAAGTGGGCGGGGGGTGAATTTGAGTGGGTAAAATTCGCATGTATGCATGTGCACCCACATAAACATATATATATATTGTAGATATTCCTTCAGAAATGTAAACCCGCTGTGTTTTAGCTGTATACGTGCCCTTGTTATGCTCACTTTTAAGAGTTAACTTGGCAAATGAATGCACTGACGGAGACGTTGGCAAAACTGGTAAATTTTAAACAGTGATTACAGAAGCCTCAGACAGAGCTTGTTTTCTGTACAGAAGCATGGATACTTGCATCGTGTTAACCCATGCTAGCGACAAAAACAGCATGATGTGACTTGGTTGTCCAGTCAACTGTAATTTGTAATTTACTGTGTTTCAATTTACAGTGTTATATTCAATATACACAGCTGGTTTCCTGAACAGTTTCCAGTCTAAAAAATAATTCATAGAAAATGCTGTGCAAAGATATTTAGTAGATCTTAGAAAACTGAACTGTATTACTAATAATTCATAGATATAGAGGGGAAAATAATTCAGTCCAAATAATTTATTTAAAAGATTATTTTGCTACTGTGAGGTGGCAGAGATTCAACCATCAAATGGATCAATGATAATCATCTGCATTTCATTCTGAAACTATAAATTATACATATATGAGTATGCAGTGTTGTGTGTAGTATATGCAGATCCTGGAGTACCTGTGAGAGGTAGTGTATTTGTTTGACAGATCTTTAACTAGGCTATGTGTATTTTCAGGAGATATCAGTGCCCACAGACTATGGAAAATGCAGGTAGTAATAAAATTTGAAAAGTGGTACTTTCAAAAGAGGTCATAGGATTTAAGAACTGTTGATTTAAAGTGTTATGCATAATGATTCTTGAGGGTAAGGTGGTGCAGCCTGCTCATTATTTTTTCAACCCCTTGGGCTTGATCCAGTAGCCTTTAAACAGAGCTGATTTCCATGAGAGTGTGCCAGAGATAAATCTGCAAGTCAAGTTACAGACCTCCAAATCATTGAAGAAAAAAGTGACAGCTTGTATTCAAATCACATAGTTGCTTAAAGGTCCAGTGACCAGTCTTGGAAGTCCTTTTGTTGTCTGTACTGTCACACATAACATACACTACATACATAAGGTACAGCTGAACTACAACTACTGCGAAGTGATGTAACAAGGATCATGTAGGTGGAGGTCAAATCCTGAAATAAATCCCAAAGACTTACCAGGGTTGAACCTGAGAGGCTGTGCGAGGATTTGGAAAGTGTCTTAACTAAAATGATGTAAGTGATCCTATGCAGCTTATCACTGCTCCCATGGCAATAAATAAAATGTTCTTGAAAGCCTCAAGAACAACTACACAAATACAGAAGATCCATTATAAAATCATATGTAAAGCCACCTTTTATTTTGTGACAGGGATAGATATTTCACCTTGAAAAGCCGATTTTTAAATTCTGCCATATTTTCTGTCTGTAGTCCTTTAAATACATAAGCTTTAAGAATATTAAGTGGTGATATAAACAGCTTGATCTACCATCATTACTTGATAAACAGCTATGTTTACTTCGTGTCAGAAGTATTAATATTTTTTTGGTTAACAATTTTGAATTAAGTTAGGCTTAGTGAACATATTCTGCCCAAAAGGGGAATTGCTAGAGTATCCCAAATGTGAGTTCTCAACACTCTTGGGAGGGAGACTATGGTAATTCAAGCTTTCACGGCTTTTTAACCTAATATGCGTTATTGGACAATTTTGGTGGCCTAGCTGTTAGCCAGCAGCTTCCTAAACTTGATATAATTTGTAATGAACATGTGCTAAATTGTCTGAATGAAACCTGTGCCATGAAGCTGCTCCTTGGCCTTGACTGTGTCCAGATTGCAGTGGTTGCTGGAAACAGGTATTCCTGCAGCTGCTCTCCTGTGTGCTCTCAGAGCATTGCACACTCAGGGGGGTGTATGTGTGAGTGTATCGCATGATCTATTGGTAAGAGGCACTGGACAAAGGGGGAAAACTGGTTTTGGCTTGCTTAATTTGAAGCAGATTTGAGAAGTTTCTCATTTTTTGAGGCGCAGCTCCTTAGTGCAATGCAATTTGCTGTAAATGGGTGAGTGGATTTCTCAGTTCCTTAGCGCAATGCAATTTGCTGTAAATGGGTGAGTGGACTTGAGAAATGGAGGAATTATGGCTGTGAACTCGATGCCACCTCCTTTTGCCCTGGAGTTGGATGCCCAGTAATTTTCAGTCTCCCGTTTTAGCTCCAGGCATTTTGAATTGGCTACCATATGGAGCTTCCTTCTCAACACCTTATTGCTGGGTACCTGACTTTCTGCATGCCTTCTGTAGGAAATCCACTGGATGGTAGAGCTCCTAAAATTTAGATACTGCAGCCTTTGTACCCCTGGTTTAAAGTTAAAGTCCTTAATGTTTTAGTTATCAAGAGATAAGCAGAACCTGATTTTAAAAATTAGGAAATGCTTATGTGAACTTGAAGTTTTCATATGTTACTTGAACTCGTATTTGTTGTCAAACAACTGTCTGTCTTAATAAAGCAAGTCTTTTATACCAGACAGTGCATATGAAATAATTTGACACAAAACATCAGTTGATAAAACAGGTCTTTTATACCAGGCAGTACATATGAAATAATTTGACACAAAACATCAGTTGCTACTGAATTCTAAAGGAAGAGGACAAAAGAATACATGAACTAGTCACATTTGGAGTAGGGAGAGCTATCACTAATGTATAATTCGTTGTATTTTTAGTAGTATAATACATCTTTCTCATTTAGCTCTAGTTTCAGTCTCAATGATGTATGCACTGAAAAGCAATATTGTTGAGTATGGAATTATTATTCATCTCTTTCAGGTTAGTACAATTGGTTGCAAGGAAAGAAACACTAAGAGACAAAGCATGTTAAAATTCTGCTTCTGTCATTGATAAAGATGTCAATCTTTCAAGAGCTAGGATTGTTTCAGATTAAGTTTTATTTTGCTGTCTGACACTGGAAAAGTCTTCAACCTGAGGCAGTTTTTGTTTTCCATAGTTTTACTATGCTTAAAGTGCTTAAGGGTAAGTCACTAAGTTGTAGAAAATTAAAAAAACCAGAAGGATACTTTCAGGGTCCACTCTCCAATTTAAAGTACTTAAGGGTAAGTCACTGAGTTGTAGAAAATTAAAAAAACAGAAGGATACTTTCAGGGTCCACTCTCCAATTTGGTTGCCTAAAACTGGGTAACTTGATTCAGGCTCAGAGAACTATCTATCTGTCTCTCTCTCTCTCTTTCTCGTTAACTTGCTTGTGAGCTAACTATCTGTTTTAAGTGCCCCACGTGGATTTACCAGACCTGTCAGCCTTTAGGCAATCAAGTTTTACCCTCAGTGTAATTAGTAGCTTTAAATATTCAGAACAGAGAGTGTACTTCAAAGATAACAGAGATTGTATAAAAGGCAAATACCTACTTGCATTGGGTGCGGGAGCCCAGGCACTGGTGAAGGGGTGTAGGGACCAGAGGCTGGACACAGCTGGTTCCAGCTGGCTCCAGTGGACCCACTGCAGGCTCGGCTGAGACCCTCAGCCAAGGTGGTCACACCTTGGGGAAAACGTATTTAAGAAAGGGTACAACACCACACAAGTAGTGTGTGAGGACTGAGGGGGAAAAAAAAGGTGTGAGAAACTGCTCTGCAGACACCAAGGTCAGAGAAGAAGGAGGGGAGGTGGTGTTCCAGGCACTGTAGC